CAACCCACTTAATTTAATTTAATTATTTATTATTTTGTGTTTCAATATTATTAGTTATCATTTTTTTATTATATTGAGCCAAGTTGAGTTTGAAAAAAAAGTAACTTTTTTATACGGGTTAGTTTTCAACCCAGTTCACTAAGAACCCGGTTCATCAACCCACTTAATTTAATTTAATTATTTATTATTTTGTGTTTCAATATTATTAGTTATCATTTTTTTATTATATTGAGCCAAGTTGAGTTTGAAAAAAAAGTAACTTTTTCATACGGGTTAGTTTTCAAACCAGCTCACTTAGAATCCGGCTCATCCGAGTTGAACCTGTGGTGGGCCGGATTAGCTCACCAACCCACTTAATTTAATTTAATTATTTATTATTTTGTGTTTCAATATTATTAGTTATCATTTTTTTTATTATATTGAAGATGAGATAAAAAAAAAGATGTTTCAAGAGAGAAAAATATTATAGATTTATCTATTCAAAACTCTAATACTATAGATGAAAAAGTGATACAAAAATTATCAATATTAAAAATTTATTTGTTCGCCTTTTGTGCTTATTTTTGGATTACGCTTGTATTGTATGATATATTTTTTTATTTTGAATTGTCATTAGAATTAGAGTGAAATTTATTTAGATTTGAATTAAAAAAATTATAATTTTTTTTATTTAAAAAAAACTTATAATTAAGTGAATCAGTGAGTCAACCCATTTAATCCACCAATCCATGGTGAGACGGGTTGGGTCGAGCTGGGTTACCGACAGCTCTAAATAAAAGTGTAATTAATGTGTTATATCTGTAATTTGTATTTATAAATTTTTTTATGATTTTTTTATTAGATCAGTCACTTAATTTCTTTCAAACCTGATTAGTGACCTATTTTACTAAATAACCTATTTATACTAAATAGATGGTTAGCTAACTTTAGTTGTGATTGATAATTACATCTTATATTTTTTTTTTAAAAAAACAGTGACAAATGAAAAGAATTTATATGGAAAACTTTTAAAAACCCTACGCAGAAAAGTTAGAGAAGAGACGATAACATTATTTTATGTCAAGGGACTACATACATGATAAATACTTTAAAAAAATGAATTTTAAAAAATTTATAGTTCACCTTACATTGAGAAGGAGAGAGAGTACAAGTGAGTGGCATGAGATTAAAAATATAAAGGAAATTTAATCAAAGCTAACATAATCAAGATTATGTTACTTTAATGTTGTAGTTTGAATTTTGCCACCAACAAATAACATAATTATTATTTCTGCTTTTTTTTTCTTCAATTTATCAATTTTTTTACAGAGTTATCAATAAATTAAAGACAAGAAAAATAAAATATAAAAAAAGCAACCAGATCGTGTCATTAATAATAAAATTATACAATACATTTAGAAAAATAAAATAAAAAACATTTTTGCACACTCAATACAAAAATTAATTAAAAATATTCAAATTTAGACAGATTTAAAACCAATAAATATTTTATATTTACATGGAGACTTCATAGAACACAATAGCTTATTACTTACATCACCACTAGCCAAACTTTTTGTTCAAGTTAAAAAGTTCATATAAAAAATTAAGATTATTTTCTTAGTAAAATTGGTCTTTCGACAAGAGAAAGTTCAGATTACGAAACATTCTTCATACCATATAGTAATAAACCACGGATAGTATTGAAGAATTACAGTAAAAAATGTAGCTTAAACTTGCATTCCTTGCACACCACTCTCAAAAAGATACCTTCAAAAGAAGCATTTTTACAACACCCATTAAAAGGGAGACAATATTTGACAGTATCTTGTATAGCAGCTGAACATATACAAACCAGGGGAGCCATATGAATGGGGCTATTCTAAAGATAACTGACAGATGAATTCCACAAGCTGATTAGCCTTTATCACCACACCATTTTTCTGGGTAAAAATTACATCTTTGACTGAACTGATAGTAACATCAGTGATAGCATCAGCGACAGATATGTTAATGTATTCATTCAGGTTGTGCACTGTTCCATCTGCATGGATCATCATACTTTAAAAATAAGCAACTGAGAAATAGATTCTTTATATTAAGTGTATAACTGTGGCTCGAGCTATTAATAACAGAGTATTCTTTAACAAAAATAACTAATGAATAGCTGTGTGATCCAATATTGAAAGTTCTTCCCCAGTTTGCACTGCTAGACTTTTCTTGTTAATAGAAAAATCTTGTATGTTAATCACTTCATTGAACAACTGACGTGACTTGGTGAAATTCACATTAACATGACCCAGCTAAGATATGTTTGGTCTGATAAAATATTTCCAACTTTTTTTTTCACTTATTAATGTCAAAGTCAAACTAGTCCAATTTACTATACAAACTTCTCAGTCATTACCTTCTGCAACTATAGGCTCATGTGAAGGAGGTTCTTCAATCCACTTTCCACCAGAATCTTTCATATGTCTTCTATCAGATGCAAAACTACGAAGAAATAGTGGAGCATGCACAACTCGGAATAATCTGAGATATCATAAGAAACAATTTCATATACTTCACTTTGATTAGCAACTATACATCAATATCGATGATCAATACATTATTTTATCGATAAAATTGAAGAGCACACCTAAAGAAAGCAGGTTTATACATAAAGTTACTTACAGGTGATATGTTGCGATATCATGAACAAACAAATTTTGACATGATGTGAAATGTTTTTGACATCCTTAGAAAATCTTTTTAAACAAGATTTGTGTTAGAATAGTCTATAATATATTCTGAGAAAAAAAAATTGTTGTATCGATCTGTAACCTAGAATCCTAGGGAAATTTTGATCTCTCTGGGGTCTCACTCTAACATATATGTTGGACCTGCCTACTCGCTTTATGGGTCTCAACAGTTACTTTGGAAAAACTAAATGTTAAAAATGATTTATCTTAATATACTTCTGCCGAACTTTGGTTTTTTTGCCTAGGTTTTCATTATTACTTGGAAAAAGATGGTAGTGAAATATCATCAGTGGAAGTGGAGGAACCTTATATATTGGAGACCCTCCGAATATTCAAAACATGTAAATTCTTTGGGAAGAAGGCTTAAAATCATCTTTGCAAATGACAATCAGAGACTTAATGCTTCTACCCATAAATTGGCATCTCTTAAACACAGATCATGATATGAAATCTTTCATTTTTGAAGGTCTGATAGGATATAAGGTGATAGGATATAATGGGTAATGTGTGCAGAATAAAAAAAAATAGATTAGGAATTAGTTGTGAGTTGATTAATTGGTTGGGGGCCTTTATAAGAAGGCAGAGAGGTCTTGTGTCAGGGGACTTTTGGATAATCATGTAGATTGAGCTTTGACTCTTTGTGAAGGGGAACCCTTGGAGGAGAGAGTGGTCTCCTATTCTTTGTGATACAGTCTATACAATAAAGAATATTACTTTTTTGTCTCTTTTCAATTCTGGGTTTCTATCAAGGTCAATCTGTTATTGAAGAGTTAAAGATGTTCTTAGAAACTAACTCACGGGAAGAAATTAAGGAAAAGTTAGACAAGTTATATATGGTCATGATTCTTTGTGCCATGAATGCAAATTTTGATCATATTTGGGATCAAATCTTAACTGGTCAAGAAGCACCATAAATGGAAAGCCTAACAACACAACTCTGTTCCAACCCTTAAAGGCAGAAAATCTTCAAGAATCTACTAAAGCTTTTGCCATGGTATCTGCTTGTGGAAGGATAGGTCATAGCAATAGAGGAGGATGTGCTGGTCGAAGTCATCCTTGATGCTTTTATTGTAAGAGAATGGATCACAATCAATAAAATTCTTAATCTTTGCATGACTTTCCTGATAAGATAACAAATATCTCCAAATCTAAAATGGTTGAACCAAAGATTTCGAACAATATAGTGTTTTGGGCAATTG